TCTTCCAAAGCAGCAGGAGATGTTGTGGCAGCCCTAACCTCAACTTTCAGTGGATTTTTCACCAACCTTCACAATTTTTGGGGTCCTACGCTGTGGTTTTTAGGGAAAATGAGCAGCAACCCCGTGCTAACCGTGGCTGGTTTTGGCAAACTAATTTAGGCTTAATTCAAAACACTGCAAAGAAACTGCGGCACACGAGCCATGGGGTTCTGCTGATGCCTAAGAAACAGTTCTAAAGAAGCCGCTTTCCGACGCGGTTCGCAGGGGGGCTCATGTTGTAACCCAGTGAAACCCAACACTGCTGTTTTACCCGGCAAAGCCCGCGTCTCCGGCGGCAGGAGCCGTTCATAGGTGTTGAAAAACCCGGCGTCCGAAATGATGATGGGAGCGAAGATGTCCACCAAATCTTGGCCTTTCCTGACGCTCACGCCTGGAAGGGAAAGACAAAGGAGGAGAGGAACGGCTCTGGGTAATGGCAACGCCGCGGCGGGGAGGAACCGCGTCCGCCCCGTCCCCGCGCTCACCGCAGGCTTTGCCCTGGGGATCCAGCAGGATCCTCTCCACCGGAGCCTTTCCCAAAACGTTGCCTCCGGCTTTGCGGATGATGGGGATGATGTGGAAGGCGATTTCACCGGACCCCCCACTGGGGTACCACGCGCCGCAGAGGAAGTGGTCCACCAGGATGCTGTGCATGCTGAAGCTGGCCTTGGAGGGGGGCGAGCCTGGAAACGAGGGGCGGCGTGAGGCGAATTGGTGCCCGAATTGTGGTTTTGTGGCTTCTCCTAAAGGTTTTTAGGACGAGGAACGCCTGCGGGTGGGCACGATGCTGCGAGGAGGGATGCGGGAGAGAAGCGACCGGTACCGGAGGAGCAGGGAGGGCATCCAACGTGGCCCCATGGCAGAGCCCACGGTGCTGTCACAATTTAGACTGCACCCACAGGATCGAATGAGTCACTGGGGCCACGCGTGAACCCCCAGGGCCACGAGTGAACCCCAGGGGGGATGGGAAGGGGAAGGTTTGGGGTGAAAGGGCTATGAGCAGGGGGTGCCAACCCGAGGTTATGGGCAAGCAGACGTCCCCTTGCGAAAGAGGAATGTGGAGGAAAGGAGATGAAGGCGACCAACGGGGACATGGGGACAGCGTGAGGACAAGGACGCTGGCAGAGCATCCACGCACACAGAAAGAAAAAAAGGGGTTTTTTGGGGTTTTTTTTGGCTACTAAAGCGTTTCCATGGCCACCTACCGTAGGTGGGGAAGATGTAGCTGAAGACGGCCCGGAGCTGGGGGTTGGCGGTGAGCTCGTCCACCACCTCCTTGACGCTGCGCGACGCCATGCGGCAGAAGGGGCTGAGGCGCGAGAGCAGCCCCGAGCGGCAGAGGAGCACGATCAGCGCCCGGGGGAGGCTCTTCAGGACCCCCATCAGCACCGCCCCGCGGCTCACGCTCTGTGGGAGGAGGCCGTGAGCTCCAGAGATGCCCAAAAATGGGGCTTTCCACTTAGATTTACTGCTCGGCTGGCAGAGAGGTGACGGCAGCTCTGAAATGGCCCGGCCTGGGCAGCTGTGGGTAACGGGAGAGCTTGTCCCCCCCAAAAAACACCTCCCCTGTGGTGGAAGATCCCAGCCTTTGCAGTGGTTTCAAAGCGTAAATTAATTAACGCTAATTTAGCACCGCTTTGCTAATGATTGCAACCCCCCAGCCGGCCAGGAGGACCCACAGCATCATCCCGTGGCGCTTGGGGGGTGTTGGGGCTCACGGGGGTCCCAGCTCACCCCTGGGGACCACTAACACCCCAGGAATGGGGCGAAAGCTCTGGGTGCGACGCCAGCTTTTTGAGGCAGAAAAGGGCAATTTTGGACACATTTCCCAATGCTTTTTGCAGCCGGGTTTGTGCAACGCCGTCGCTCCCTGCCGTTACCCAATATCTGGGTGTCGGGGCAGGGAGAGGGAGCCCAGAGAGGCAAAAAAAATCCCTCCCTGGAGCCCAAGCCCAGCCGAACCTTCACCAGCCGCTTGAACTCCTCGATAGCCGCCCCTTCCCCAGGAAACTGCTCCTTCAGGATCCGGAAACATTCCTCCTTCCCGCTGTGGATGCGGTACGGCCGCGCGCTGCCGGGCTCCCCCAAAATCACGACGTCGTAGGGGTCGGGCAGCCGAGCCCACTGCAGCTGCCCCTCGGTGAGCTGGTCCACCACGAACTTCATGAGGGAGCCCTCGTGCATCTGCCCCACGTAGTGGATCCCTGAAAGGTTTATTTTGGGCTTTATTTCAGGGTTAATTCCTATTTTTCACACCCAATCGTGTACCCCCCGGCGCGCACAGGACCCTCCTCTTATTTCTCCGCCCGCCCCCGTACAGAGGGAAAGGGGAAAAGCCGGGATGTGCTCGCTTCCCACTCGAGGTTGAAGGGAAAACCAAGCAGATTTTAAGCAGATTTAAGGAATTTTGGTACACTTGGATATATATTTTGGCCTTTGCATCGCTGTAAATCATTAAACCCACGCAGGTCGAGGGAGGAATGGAGCTGGACTTTGGCTGGAAGGAGTTTGCTGAGGGAGACGTGTCCTGAGATGGCACCCCCCAAAATGAGAGGGTTCTAGAGGGGCTGGGCTGGGTATGGGGGAGTCTGCAGGGTTTGGGTGTTGTAAAACCCTCAGGGGACAATTTCGGGTGTGGGCAGGGTGTGAGAAGTCACTCACGCAGAAACAGCGCTTGTATAACCCGGGGCGGGGACTGGGGACACCCGCTCTGCCTCCCCACACGCGTTCTGGGGAGCCCTGCCAGGCTGAGCCCCCTCCCCATTGACCCGAGGGTGGATTTGGGACCCGAAGGCGTGTGAAGCCGTACCGGTGTCGAACTCGAAGCCCTTCTCGGTGAAGGTGTGACAGCAGCCCCCCAGCTTCCCGTGCTGCTCCAGCACCAGCACCCGCTTGCCCACCTTGGCCAGGAGCACAGCGGCCCCCAGGCCCCCGATGCCGCTGCCCACCACGACGAGCCTTGCGGGGACTTTGTCTGCAGAGAAAACTGGGGGGGACGGGGGGGGACATCCTCAGTGGTGGCACTCCCCGTGAATGTGTGTGGTGCCAGGGGGGTGAGCCCAAGAACAGCACCCGGGGTGCGTGACACCACAGGGGTGATGCCACCTCACCGGGTGATGCCACCGCGGGGGGTGACGCCATCCCAGGGGGTGGTGCCACTCTGTGGAGCGTCACAGACCCCCAGGGGGTGAAGCCATGTTCAGGGGGGAGACATCACCCCAGGGATGTGATGCCACCCTGGGGGACAATGCCACCCCAGGGGGTGATGCCACCTCATGGGGTGATGCCACCCAGGGGGCGATGCCACTCTGGGGGGGTCATACAGCCCCAGGGGGTGATGCTATGCTGGGGGGGGCAGATGCCACCACTGGGGTTGATGCCACCCTGGGCACTGATGCCACCTCACCAGGCAATGCCACACAGGGGGCAGAGGTCACCCCGGGGAGCTGATGCCAGGCCAGGGGGCAATGCTGTGCTGGGGGGCGATGCCACCCTGGGGGGACAATGCCACCCTGGGCGGGTGATGCCACCTAGCCAGGGAATGCCACCTGGGGGGTGATGCCACTTGG